AAAAATACTTCGCCACTGACAAAGGATTTAAATTTAATTGTTTTAGTTTAATTGTTTTAGTTGCCATAACACTCACTCTTTTAGGGTTTTTTACTTGCTCTAAACTATCTTTATCACTGAATAGTAAACAGAAGATTAGCAGTAAAAAACGGTTTAATTTATTTTTGGTTAGTTAAAATCATATATTGGTTATTTTAAACCTCAATTTCATAATCCACTAATAACTTGGCTCCATTTTTTCCCTCTTCTACCGTAAAATTAATTTCTTTTCCCTCTACTAGTCAAACTCATCTTTCAGGGTTAACCTTTCCGGAGAAAACAAAAACACTTTCTCCATTATCTAATTCTAAGATTAGGTAATTATTACGATTTCTATCTAAGAACTCTTTGCGTTGGTTAATAGTGGCTTTAAGGTTCATTATTTTTTACTAATGGCTTCTTTTAGATTAGTCGAAAATTTACACTTTGGAACTTTTTTAGCGGGAACTTTCATCTTCTTTTTAGTTTGTAAGTTCATGGCTATTCTAGGTTTAGTCATGGTAGTTTTAAAGGAGAAATAACCCAAAAATCTAACTTCTTCACCTTTAACTAAGGCTTTTTTAGTTTCTAATAAGAGTTCATCAATGATTTTAGTTACTTGATTTTGGGGAGTTTGGGTTTTTTTGGAAATGTTTTCAGTGAGTTGTTTTTTACTAAGAATTGACATATATTATTTATTTTTGGTTGACTTACTGGTTATACTGGCCTAAATTTCACTAAATTACCTAAATCTCCATCTCGGATATAAAGGGCAGTAGTGGATACTTTGCTATGTCCTAAAACTTTCTGTAAAACTGGTAATGGCATTCCCGAAATGGCTTGGTGAGTAGCAAAACAACGGCGGAGAGTATGAGGAGATAGTTCGATATTTTCAGTAATATTCATTTCTTCTTTAACTTTGCCTAAAAAATCAAAAAAACTTATTCGATTAGTCTGATTAGGTTGTCAATTTCTTTTTTTTAATTCCTTAACCATTTCCGGAGCAATGTATACTCAACGTTCTTTGTTTTTTTTACCTCTTAATAAATAGAGATTTTTATATTCAGTTTGCTGATGTTCTAAGGATAAATCGAAACTAACTGCCTCGGAGATTCGTAAACCAACCTTTCAACACAAAAGATAAAGACATTCATGTTCTAGTTTTTTATACTCTCCTTTTTTATTAGGTCGGTTAATGATGTAATCTCAAACTTGTTGTAAAAGTTGGTTAGTGGGGAGAATGGTTAAAGATTTTTTATTTTTTTTAGTCATTTTATTTAATAAATTTCCCTACGATGTCCTACTTCAACCACTCAAATTACAACTCTATCATAGAGTATTTCGTAGATAACTCGATAATCACCAAAACGATATCTTCACTTGCCTTTCCACTTTCCAATCAAGGGTTTGCCATACTTATCAGGATTTTTAACCAAATAACTTTCTACCTTGCGAGCAATTTTTTTCTTTAATGTTCGGTCGAGTTTATCAAGATTTTTTTGAGCTTTTTTGCTTCATTCTACTTTATACACCTATTTCTTTTAGATTTATCTCTTTTAACATTTCTTCCGTGGTGCAACCCTTTTCTCCTTTTTTTCTTTCTTCTTTATAATATTTCGCCACATCTTCGGCATTCTCTAAATATTGGATTAAGGCTTCTTGGATAATAAAATCTTTTGGTCTTTTACTAACTTCTTCCAAATAAATAAGATGTTTTTCCAATTTTTCGGACAACTTAATTTTTATATTTAATTCTTTTACTTCTTTTTTTACCATATTCATATATTATATTTTTACTTCTAACCATTTATTATTTACTTCTTACTTTTGAGAATGGTTTGGTTAGTAATTCACCATCATTATTCCTTAACTACCAACATAATTAACAATTTTGTAAGGAGAATTTGAGATTAGTTTTTTGGCTAATTTTGAGATTAAAAAAGCAAAGAGGAGAAATTTATCTAAGTTTTTTTACTTTTTTATTATCTTTTTGTAATCTCTCTAATTCTTGGACTTCCGGAGTGGTTCAAAGATAATTTTCTAATAAAGTGGTCAGTCCATCATGGAAATTTCCATGGGATTGAAACAATTCTAAACTATAATCACCTAATAAACAATGAGTAACTTCATGAGCGAGGGTGTGAATTAAGCGATTTAAGTTATATTCACTATGATAATGGTTATCCAAACTTTCTAATTTAGCCAGTTGGTAAAGAAAACGACTATCTAAGTGAATGACTTTCTTGTAAATAACTAGATTTCCAACTAATTCTTTACTTAAGCGACTTCGTCCATATCAATTATAATTTAACTGGAAGCCACCAAATTCAAGCAAATAGGAAATGGTTTTGGCTTCCTTTTCTTCAAATACTTTACCTTGGTAAAAATGGTAGACTTTATTAATTAGATGAGCGATAAATTCCTGCATTGACTAATTTTTTTTACTTTTTTTAGAATGGAAGATATCTTGTTCAGTGCAGATTACTTCTACTGAGTTAGTTTCTTTGCCCTGACCGACTTTTTTTAATTTACCAGCTTCTTGGATGGCTTGTTTTCTTATTTCGGCTAATTGTTGTTTTTCAGTAGACTGTTTTTTATTAGTTTTTATTGCCATAATATAGTAATTTTTTACATTTTGACAACATCTTCTCTGATTTCTTTAATAAAATTAATGGATTGGTCGTATTTAGTTTGGTAATTTTCTTTTTGTTGTTCAAGGAGTTTGATTTTAGATTGGAGTTGTTTAATAGTGTTAGTTAATTCAGTTTGAGAAGTTTGTAATTGTTTAATCTGTTGGTTATTATTGTTAATAATTCCCTCTTTACTCTTAATATTTTCTAAATAAGTATTATTCTTTTCTTTGGCAGTTTCTAGTTCGGAGGATAATTTATTATTCTGTTCTTTTGCTTGCTGCAATTCATCTTTTTTAACTGCGATTTGACCTTGTAAATTAGTGATAGTTTCTTTTTGAGAAGTTATGGTTTGGTCGTTTTTGGTTTTTTGTTGTTCTAAGTGGGTTATTTTTTGGTCTTGTTGGACTTTTTCTTGGTTCTGGTTAGTTAATTGTTCTTGAATTTGAGTTAGTTGTTTTTTAGTGTTGGTTAATTCTTGCTCGGTGGCTTGAAGAAGTTTTAAAAAGGTTTGACTATCCTGTTCTAATTTAGTGATTTGTTCAGCGGTTAATTCGGTTTGAGTTCCTTTATTTTGAGTGCTGAATTCAGTTTGAGTTTGTTGGCTGATTTGGGTTTTGGCTTGGGTTAATTCTTGGATGGTGGTTTCTAAACGGGCAATTTTGGAGAGTTTGTCAGGTTCAGTTTTAATAACTTGTTCCAAGGTTTCTTTGCTTTCTTTAACTTTATTATGTAAGGCTGTTAACCATTTTTCTTTACTGTCGGGGTTAGTGAAGTATTCGGGTCTAGCAATTAGCATTTTTTCGGGGTGGGATAATTGTCAGGCTTCTAGGTCGTAATTAAAGGGTCTTAATTGATCTTGGATTTTTTTAACTTTAGCATCTTCTCGTAAAGGTTGACAATCAATTAAGTTTTCTTCCATAGTATTCTTATCTTCTTTTACGGCTTGGCTGGATAATTGGGCTAATTTAATAGGTATATATTCAATTCCTTCCTCAACATCAGTGCCAGCAATACAAAACTTTTCTAATTTGGTTAAGTTTTTAATTGGTTCTAAGGAGCCGTAAAAACGATTATACTTATTTTCGGCTAAGTTTGTTTGTCAAGAACCTACACTATTAAGTCCCATTTTACAATCTTTTAAATTGACAAAAGGTTGCAGGAAGTCAAGAGTGGTCGGTTGAATATTGTTGTCGTAAATTTCTAATACTTCTAACTTTTCAGGATTAGGTAATTGGTTTAAGAAGTCTATGGAGGTTAGATTACTTTTGCAGCAACTAAGACTAGTTAAATTAACACAGCCACTAACATCCAAAAAGGTGAGGTTATTTTTGTAGCAATCAAGACTAGTTAAATTAACATTCTTGCTAAAACCAATGGAGTCTAAGAAGTTATCCATGCATCCAAATTTAGTTAAATTAGCAAACTCTCCTAAATCTAAACATCCTTCTAGTCCTTCCTGAAAAAGTTTTAACTCTTTCACCCTCTCCCTCTTTTCTTTTGTATTATATTCCTCTTGGCTGTATAGCCACTCCATAGCATTTACCATATTATAATTTTGCTAAATAATTATTTAATTTATTTAATAAATTGTCTCTTTGGTTGGTGAAGTTAAGCGTTAATTGCCGGATGTTGGCTTTAAAGTTATTTTCCATTTGCTCTACTAACTTTAAATACTCTTTTTTGCCGGCTAGTTTACTTTTTCCTAAATTTAATAAAGAAGTTTCTAAATCACTTGCTTTTTGCTGATAAAGAGTTTTGACTTCGTTTGCTCCGGCTAAATTATTTTCTAATTGTTGAATCTGCTGGGTAAGTTGCTGAATTTTTGCTGATTGATCATGGGCTAAATCTTTTTTAACCCGATTTTGGTAAAGAGTTTGTCAATGGTTTTTTTGTTGTTCTAATTGAGTGAATTGGGCGGAATTAGTTAGTAAATTAGGCTGAGGTTGGGACTGATAAGCGAGATAAATCACTAAAATTAGGAGAGTTATTATCAATAATTCCTTAGTCATATATTTATTTTAATTAAAAAAATACTAGCGGAAGAGGGGATGAGTGATTAAGCGTGCTTCCTTCGGGTATTAGATTTGGAAGGAGATAAATTATTTTCTTCATGAATGGCTAAGTGAAAAGGAGTAAATAACACACTAGCATAATCAACTAATTCATCCAACGTAAAGTAATCAATGTGGCAAAACAAAAGATATTCTAATTTATCAGTTTGTTTAATTCCTAATAGTTGACCGATTTCTTTTTCTGACAGATTATGCTCCCTTTTATAGCGCAAAATACTTTTACAAATCTCATGCTTGCTCTTTGCTAAGGGAGTGGCATTAGGAGTTAAACCTTGATTTATTCGTCGATAACCTGGTTGTCTCATTCTTTCTAATTCCGAAACATCAATTTCCCTCCATCCAGTTTTATTTTTTTTTAAGTTATTATTTTTAGTTGTCATATTTTCTTTCGCGATAGCAGTCAATGATGATTAATTTAGTGGTTAATAGTTCTTCATCATAGTCTCAAACTAATTTATAGGCTCGGTGGTCAATATATAAAGGCTCAAAAGAGTAATATTTATTATCTCTTACTAATTCATCCTCACCATTTAATTGCTTAACTAACCCTTAATTATCTCATCATTCACGGTGGATCGACCTGGTTTAGTTCGGTAATAATGACTAATCTCTAATTCCACAAACCATCGACCATTAATCACCACACTACACAGATAATAGTTAACTGGATAATTAACAATCTTTTTAACCATCTTTATCTATAACTTATTTTTTTATAACTCCGAGATCTACCATATTATTTTACTTGAATTATGCAAGGAGGACTAAACTTTTTTCTTTTCCTGATAAAGTTTCCAATTTCGCTGATGCCTTTTTCCTAATAAATGGGCTTTAATTATTTCGGGTGTCTTGGAAAAATAAACTAAGCAGATATAGCAAATATTCAAGTTTTCTTTATGGGGATGCTTGGTTATCTTTTTTTCTAATTGCTCTTTTTTTTGAAAATACTGAGTTTCCTTACTAAGTGGTGTGGGTTTTGGCTCTTTTTTCTCATAAATTTCTAAATCTTTTACCTGCTCTAAACCCTTTTTGCCTCAGGGGGTAGTGAGGATGTTCCGCTCTTTTAGGAATGATTGCAATTCAGTTAGTTTTTCAAACTTTAAACATCATTTTTGGTTTACTCGACCTTTCAAACTATACCGGGTTCCTTTTTCATGAATACTCCCTATTCCTACCACAAACCTGCCTTTACTGTGAATTTCCCCGATTCGGTCTCCATTTTGGTTCACTAGTCAACCAGATTTAGGAACTTCTTTAATCAGTAAGTAGCGGTGAATTCCTCGATTAGTTTCAATATAGCGACTATCTTTGATCCTTTCTTTGGCTCATAAATCATCTAAATCGATGACTACAAAATAATAATTACCGATTGAAGTGCCAGTTCGTAAAGAATATCCTTGATTGATTTCTAATAATTTTTCAATACTTCTATACTCGGCATAATACTTATTTCAATTCTTGACTAAGGGCTTCTTAAATTTGGTGGGCAAGAGAATATGTCTTTTGGCTAATCCTTGTAAATATTTAGTTTCTGAGTTGGTTAATTGACTATTTGGTTTCATGGGTTCTAAAATCTATATGTAGAGGTCTCTTTTAAGTATTCTTACAAAAAAAAAAGTTAACGATAAATTCCTACTCTGCAAAAGAAGTAAAATAGAAGAGGAGTAAAAATTAAAAATTCCCCTCCTCTGGATGGTTTTGTTTTTTTTGCTTCAGGAGAACCTTTAAAAACTTCCTGAACTTCTTTGACCTCGGTTTAACCTCCGAGATAAGGCTCCTAGTGCCGGTGGCACATTGAGCAATTGCTCAATCTCTCCCCTAACTTTGGTCAGTTTCCATAATTGACGGACTTATTTTCATCCGGGTTATTCTGTCAGTCAGATTAGTCATTAGTTTAACGCTCCTTTTTCTTTTCGGAGGAGGTTGGGCTTCTCTGCCAGTAATTTCTTACTGGTGCATCTTATGCTATCCGAATTAGCGTTAATGCTTTTTGAGGGGAGTTAAAACTTCTGGCAAAAAAATTATCTCCCCATGAGAACCAGCGTGGTAAAAAGAATCAACACTGACTCTAATCGAGAAATAATTGCGTTTTGGCGAGGGTTAATAATCTAAAAAACCCTCGCTGGATAAAGATAGGTTTAATATTCATCGGCGAAGTATTTGCTAATCAATTCAGAATACCGGAGACTGGTTTGTTGATATCTCTCCCAAGTTCAGCCTTCTGGTTCTAAAAATTGTTTACATCGTTCTCAAGTGGCTTTAGTTTCCATTTCAGCATGGTTTTTTAAGGCTTTTTTAACTGCTTTAATTTGAGTTAAAAGTTCGGGTGGTAGGGGATTATTCATTATTTTTTATTTGACCTTTCTTGCAATTGTTTTTCAAGCATGGTGTGGAGTTTTTTTCTTTTAAGAATAGAATAATCATAGATTATTTATTTCTCGATTTAAAAATTATTTCTAAAAACTGGATGGTTTCGAGGGCATCGGTGATGAGTTCTAATTCTGCTTGGCTGAAATTAGAGCAAGGTCTTTTTTTTACTATTTGGATTTTTTGAATTAGTAATTGATATTTAGTCATAAATTTAAATTTGGTTTAGTTCACTTTTCCACAACCGACTATAATCAGCATAAACATATTCAAAATCATTCTGAATATACTTCTCGGTAGTTTGGACACTGGAATGTCCCAGTAATTGTTGGATAGTAAGTAATTGAGCCTTACGGCGATATAAGTGGGTCGCAAAACTTCTTCTAAAAGTATGGGGGGTAATATTTTTCTTGATTTCCGCTTTTTTGGCTCGGGCTTTCAGTAATCAGCGAATATACTCGGCTTTGATGGGATTGCCTCGTTGGTTAGTAAACAAGTAAGTGGAGGAAGCGGAATCAAAATGAGTAATCAAGAAGTCGGGTAGTAAGACATAGCGGACTTTATTTCCTTTGCCTAAAATCCTTAACTGGTTGGTTTGTCAGTCTTGATATTTTATGTTCACCAGTTCATTGATTCTAACTCCGGAATAGAATAGGAAGTCAAGAATAAGGTTGTTTCGCTGATGAATGAGGAGATTTTTTTCTACCTTGGTATTTTTTAACTTCTTTAATTCAATTTCATTAATGGTAGAGAAGAATTTGCGTTGAGTTTTCGGGATAATTCTGGTAATTCTTTCTCATTCTACTTTTAACTTCTTAAATTTAAGGTAAGAGTTAAGAGCATATTGGTGGACTTTTAGACTGGTAGCTTGATAGTTTTTGAGATTGGAACGGAAGTAGTCTTTTAAATTGTCAGTGCTAAATTTTTGTTGAAACTTTTGGAGGGTATTTAAATAAAGTCGGATCGTATTAGAGGATAAATTTTTGTCTTGTAATCATTCGGTATATTGGGGAATATTATGGTTATTAGTCATAATACTTTTGACCGGTTGGTTCGCTCTTTGGTTAATTCAATAAGTAGTTCAGTTCATTAGGAAATATCAATTTGAGGTTTAATTTGGCGGCATTTAGGACAAGGTTGTCCGGTAATTTGTTTGGTTTTTCACTGGAAGCAGGCAATTTCTTTAACTGGTCTTAATTGCTTACAACTAGGACATTTGACTTGGAACTGATAAAGTAAAGTGAGGGCGAAGAGTAAAATTCCGCAAATGATACCTAAAAAAAGGGTAATTAATAAGTTGGCTAGCATAATTTTAAATCTCTTCATTTTCATCCTCCTCGTATTCATCGACTAAAGAGCAGAGACCGGCTTCTAAAACTATTGGTTCACCGAACTCATTCTTTTCCTTTGGTGATTCTTTATCCGCTAATAACTTTAAAGTTGCTTTTAAGTTTTCAACGAGGTTATGCAAAGTGTCGCTATCTCAGGTTTCAGAGTCATCCGAGTCAATCACTCTAACTTCATCAATCTTGTCTAATAGTTTACTTAACTTTTCTAACTTATTTTCAATTTGATTTTGTAATTTCTTGGATTTGGGCATCTTATTTTGGGTTATTTCAATTGATAAAAAAAATTTTGATAAATTCCTCTGGACTGATTTCTTTTTGGTGCATTCGTCGGTTAATTTCAGTTAATAATTCTTGGTTGCTAATTTTTTTAAATTTAGACATGTTATTTTTGATTCTGTTTTTTAATGAGGGTTAATAAGTCTTCTAGTTCTTGGGACTTTTCATCCTTTTGTTGCTCTTGGTTAGCAAAGTCTAAAATAATCTGTTCTTGGCAGTATTTAATGAGCAGAGATTGTCATTTATGGGGGCAATGATTAAGGCATTTAGTTTCTAGTTTGGTCATTGAATCAGTCCTAATTACTAATAATTGCCAAGTAGTTTGACAAACTGAGCAATTGAATTTCAATTTCTTTTCGGTGGTGTTAAGGTTTTTCATGAGTTTTTATTTCTTCTCATTTGTGTAAAACCAGACTTTTATTTCTTCTCTCGCAAAAGAAGTGATATTTCTGATTAACAAACTGACTTTTTTCAATGACTTGGAAGATTTGCTGGCTGACTAAATTAGTATAAGCAAAAACGATTAATTTTTCCTGGTTTTCTTTAATGATGGTTAATTTATAGTTGAGATTACCATAAAATTCATTCTTTTTGTAAACTTTATAGGTTTCTTTGCTGATGATTTGACCGGTGAATTCTTGGAGTTTAGTCATCTTATTTGGTAAAAATATTCTCCTCCTGTTTGCTTGATTGATTTAAGAGTCGATAATTAGTAGTTGTGAAGGATTTTCTAATACTATTAGGAGAATTAGAGTAGTGTCCGGTTAATTCGACCATCTTCCCTTTTTTTAAGTGGGGTTCTTTTACTTTAAAAATTACTGGCAAGTCGACTGATTGTTCTTTTAATCTAATAAATGAATAATAATAAGGTTCCTTAGTTCCTTCTCCGCGTAATTGGATTGGGGAGGTGAGGATTCCTTGGATTTTGATTAAGTTATCTTTTTGATTTTGAGTTATTTTTCCCCCATTGGGAGTTCTGAGTATTTTTTCTTCCTTTTGTAAAGAATTATTATGTTTAATTTCTAGCATTTTCTGGTATTTTTAGATAGACAAAAAGGAGCAATTGAAGGTTAGAAAAAAGTTCTGATTAGTAAAAA